GGTAGTAGGGAATTGGGAGATAGCATCTGTGATGATTCTCAGTCATCCAGGTAAGGTAAGTAGGGAATTGGGAGATAGCATCTGTGAGTGATGATTCTCAGTCATCCAGGTAAGGTTATTTGGAAGTTGAGTCATGGCAACTGGACTTCTTTCTTATTAGACTGAAATGTTTCGCTGTTCATCCAAGTAGCTTCTTCAGTCTGAGGAGAGTTGGTGAGAGACCCCTGCTATATCCTCCATATTGGTTTCACTTCTGCCTTGTCTGAATAGATTTCTCAGATGGACAAAGGATGGGTGTGTGTGTGTCAGTGAAAATCCCACTTCTGCAGTCCTTCTCCACCTGTTTTCATGGATCCTTAACAGTGGTCTTTCTGGTGTGTGTGGTCCTGATCTTTCTGGGGGACGGATGAAAGGGCAGCAGGATCAATAGGAGATTGTATCTAAGGCCTGCACCCCTGTTGAGTGAGGGATTTTCTATATGCACATGTGTGGCCTCCTTAACCCTTCTCTCAAGCCACCTATCTTCTCCAAAATCTTGGATTGGGCTCTCACTACACTCACGACTAGGTACTACAAATGTTTCAGACCGCACCTATGGACAAAACAGCAATTAAAGTTTGATATAAGATTAAACCGCCAAGAGTGCTTTTAAGCACTATGGGGTGGTATATAAGCAGCACACTTTTGCTTTGCTTTGAATCTATCTTGTATGTTTTCAAAAGGGGGTGACAATTGCTTTTGCCTTTGCAGCCCTAGGTGCAACCTGAAATTGAAGCCTTTCCCAATAAAATCAGGTCTTTCCTCCTGTACACCATTTTAAGACTGACTGAATGAGGTCTTAATGGCTTCCATTTCAAGCCAACCTTCCCCTCACCAACTTTGCTTACTGTCCAAGCTGGATGTAGAATACCTGCACTGTTTTGCAACATCTGAGTAAGTCTTAATTAAGACATTGTCCTGAATGATGGCATTTTGAGGATCTTTCTTTTGGAATGATATGACCTAGCTTAGCTCATTAAGGAAAGGTTGTTTGCACATATTTTTGATGTGTGTGTTTGCTTGTTTAATGGAAGCTGCCTTGAGCTTTGGACAGACAGGGTGGTAAATATTTTGCAGAAGTGAATACACACCTCCTGCCTACATGAGCCCATCTCCAAACTGATGCATCTGGGCCTGCAGTAATTGGGATCTATGATCCGGTTTGCCTTTGTAGTGCATTTATGACCAGACCTTTGGAGCATGTGTGTGTATGTGTGTGTATCTGCATGTGTGGACACGCACAAACAGAGTTCACTTTATCTGGGTTTCCGGTAGCTGAGGCAGCTGAGCTAAAATTGAAAATATACTTCAGAATGACTTTCCCTCAAAGACGCTGCCTTGCCTTGTTCTGATTGTGCATTCTGAGGAGAGGAGGACAGTACAAGACACACAGCAGAGGTCACATAAAAGGAGGCCAAACCGAAGCAATAATTCATTCAGAGATGCAGTAGGCAGCCTTTTATGTGGATGAATGCTTCTAAACATCCTTCAGCTATCTTAAGTCCTTGTAGTGTACTTCTTTACCAGCACTCAGTTTAGGAATTACTGCCACCAGCTATAATTCTAGAGCTGCTGTGCAAATATTACTTCTTTGTTTGCTGCTTTTTTCTTTTTTATTTTCTTTGGTTGCCTCTCCCTTTCCCTTTCCCTCTCTTGTGCTGCTGCTTGAGCATTAGTGAACGTCACAAATAACTTCTCCCACCGCTGGCAGCAGGGGCAATAGCCATATAAATCCACATATCTTCACCCCTTTTGTATAGATTGGTCTTCCCAAGCTTGTGCTTTCTCTTTCTTCTCCCAAAAATGGCCAACTGTCATCGTCGTTGCCCTTTTTGAGAGGCAGGCTGCCTCACTTTTCGGCTCCATAATGCCTGCCACCGTACCTGTGATCTTGGAACCCAGCTCTGAGGAGATTTTTTAATTATGTGGTAGAATTCTTTTCCTCCTCCATTGCCTGAATTGGTTTTTCTTTTTGCCTAATTATCCATTTGAAGAGTAATTTTTCCTATCTGGTAGTGACAAGCTGAGCTCCAAGCCGCAGCAGTATAAATTCCAAATATTCTTCCATCTTACCCCATTGTTTGGGCATAAACTGTCCTGGCTATGCAGAGGTTGGGTGGAAAGGAAACAAGCTGGCCCTACTTGTGACTTAATTCTGAGGAAGCAGCAGAAAATATCACGTCTTGGGATGACATTACAGGTACTTTGTCAAGCAGGTTGAAACACATTGTGGTTAACGGCTTCTTGATAAAAAGCCCTCTTTATCCACACTTCCATTGTTGACTGAAGCATGTATGTTTAGAAAGATTTTGTACAAAAGAAAGATACAAAAGGGTTCTGACAATATTATCTGCTTGTCTCCCAAGATGCACTTAGGAGTGACTGTAGTATATCCTAGTCTTCCTCACACACAGAGAGCATTTGGATTGCCTTTATCTGACAGAGAGGTGGTGTACTCTCAAGAAACATGGTCAGTGTGCAGATAACAGAGCCCTTTTAAACACTCTGTTTTATGCCAAGAAATACTTGAAGTGCAGTGCAGACCTCTTGTGGTGGGGAGAAAAATGTTTTGCAGAGAAACATTAAGAAGCATTTGTCTCCATTCTCTTCAAGGTTAAGAGGAAATCATGAGATTCCAGTCGAGGTTTCCGTTGTCACAACAAAATATATACAGCTCAAGATAGCTGTTCGAAATCAGTGTTTGCATATGTGTTGCTGTGCTTTCTGCTCACAAAATGTAGTGCATTGTCCCTCTTCCAGTGGCACAGCACAATGGGTCTGTGCATCTGGGTGCAGAGTTGTCTTCTTTCCTCAAGTGGTGTTATAGCTGTTTCCAAAAAATAAAAAGCCACTGTGGTTCTAGTTTTGCAACTTATGCATAAGAGACATACATCCTGGCCAGTCAAGTCCTTGTCCCTCCCTCAGTTGAATTGCCTGTCTCCACTGTAAGGAATGCACTTAAGTGTTTATTCATCTCCATCTCTCTCTTTCACCCTTGCAAAGCAATTTAAACCTCAAATATTTAATAAAAACAATTGCAAAAGTGTACGAAGGATTGGAAGCAGGGTGTGTGTATTGATGACATGCAGGAACTAGCTAATGGGCGTTTTCCGTAGCTTGTTTTTCTCCAGCTTAAGCCAACTCATTTGGAAAATGAGCCTTCGAGAATTCATTTGGAAAATTTGCACAAAGATTAGTTTTGGTGCTTTTGAACTGGCTCAATAGCACTAATGACTACTGGCCCCATTTATACTACGGTTGTCTTTATCCTGTGTATTCTGCTTCCAGCCTTTCCCTACAAGTTGTGCTTGACATGTGATCATGTTATTCCCCCACACCCAAGCTCTGGCGGAAAGGAATCAAGTTATAACAGTCTTTTTAGAAGGAGAATTTTTTAAAAAGGGATAAAGTACCATATAATTTTTACTATATTTTCATATTAAATGCACAGTATTCAGAATGGGAATGTTTGATCTGTGCAGCAGGTTAACATGGAAGGATCATTACTTTAAAAAAAACCCTGTTAACTTTTGGAAGCTAAAAATCTGCAGAGAGAGGTATTTCTAGCTTGACATTTCATTTAAAAAATAGCATTTTGAGATTTATATTGTTGTTGTTTTGACTTATATACAGCCCCATAGTGCTAGAACACTCTCTGGATGGTTTACAGCATAATTATGCAAGGAATACTTTGCCTCCCAGCAAGCTGGGCGCTCATTTTATTGACCTCGAAAGGAGGGAAGGCTGTGTCAGCCTTGAGCTGGCTCCCTTAATTTGTCGGGATTGAACTCAAGACTGACTGTAGTCCTGTGTCAGTTACATGTCAACATGCAATCTGTTGTTTCTCTCAGTTGGCTGCTGACCAATGATTGTTCCTTCCACTTATTATTGTATGTGTAAATATAGATATCTTAGCCTACATTAATATTTTTATAATGTTTTAAATTATATATAAATAATGTTGGAGGGATTTGAAAATTGGTTATTCTCTTTTAGAGAAGAACGTGAAGATATATGCTCAGTCTCACCCCTTTCCATGGAGACAAAAAAATAATCCGGATGCTACTTGTTTAAAGGGGAAAAGATCACTTACAGTTCATTGCTGTATATCAGACATGGGATATTTGTATATCTATCTTAAGGGATACGAATGCGAACATAAGCACCACAGGTGCCAGCAGAAACTGAACCCTCCTCCCAGAACCTGCTGGTCCATTTATCGCTATCTGTGTGATGTGTGCAGTCATTGTCAGCCGCTCCTGCCTTTCCATACAGTCGAGGAGGCAGGACAACAAATCTCCCCCCCCCACTTAGCTGCTGAGTGGTTGGCTGTGTGGAGTGGTGAGGCAGCACCAGCTGGTCTGCTTCTGCGATTGGCAGTCTGCAACTGACTGTGGCCGCACGTGCCACATGGAGAGTGGCAAGTGGACCGCTGGGTCCTGGGGGGGGAGGGTGCTGATATTCGTATTTGTATCTGTCAGGATACAAATACCTTGTGTCTACTGTATATGTATAGTGTGGAGCTCCTTTTCCACATATCTATATTTGGAGAGCAGAAATACAGAGGAGAGGAGAGGTGGCTAATAAAAGAAGCAATAGGAAGAAAGGGCCATCTCAAAAACTCTTTGTGGCATGGGGAAAATTCATGCATTTAGTAGCAGATTCTGAGCATGCCCCCTCACAGTCAGTCAGTGTTAAAGGAGAAGCATGCAAGATTGCCTTTTTTCCATTTTTGGTGTTTTACAAGAATCCAGACGAATTACCAATCAGTTTGCTGTAACATTGGTGCTTAAAATGAATGAGTAAGTTGAAGAAATGGGAAAGATGTATTAAGGAGTCAAAAATGAAACAACAAAGGATGGTTTCCTTTGAAAAGTTCAGCTTTGTTTTATATCACTTGGCAGACTTTATCAGAAACCTTTGGGTTTAGGAAACTAAAACATTTCTGTTTTTATTTCCAGACAGGAAAACTTGATCCACTTTACCCTCGCATCTGTGGGCACAAGGGGAATGTTTTAGACATTAAATGGAATCCTTTTGACGACTTCGTAATAGCATCATGCTCTGAAGATGCCACTGTAAGTTTTTTGAATCTCTTGGGCTATGAAACCCATAGCACTGCCTAATTTCCTGACCACAGTTAGAAGATTAGAAGTTTCCTATTGGCCCACTCCCTTTCTTTCACAACCACAGTTATGGGTTTTATTAATTATTTGATTGATTGATTGATTGATTGATTGATTGATTGATTGATTGATATAATGCCCATCTGGTAGCCAAGGCCAGTGATTCTTAACGTGGGCGATAATGCCCCCCAGGGGGCGATTTCAGTTTTCAGGGGGGCGGTAGAACGCCTGACCACGGTTAGAAGATTAGAAGTTTCCTATTGGTCCACTCCCTTTCTTTCACAACCACAGTTATGGGTTTTATTATTTGATTGATTGATTGATTGATTGATTGATTGATTGATTGATATAATGCCCATCTGGTAGCCAAGGCCACTCTGGGCGGTTACATAATTACTTTTAGTAATCACGGTTAGCTTAAACCATAGCCTGCAACTTTGTTTCTCGTTGCGTTTGCAAAAGGTAATTTGGAGTTAAGGACAATTAGAATTCCATGTATTTGCAATAACAGCAGAGTCACCGTACTGATTCATGGTTATCTCTGAGAATGAAAGGATCAAGAATTCATGGGCAAGGGAGAAGGATAAATCCACATGCCCTTGGGGTGGTGGTGAGGATAGTGAAATGGATGAGCACCATCATATCAGCACACGATCATTTGCTAGGAAGTTTCCAAGGGACAGTGTGGTGTTCTTGTTCAGAGTCTTGGGTCTGGATATTTAAAACCTGGGTTCATGGCTTGGTTGCTGAGTGGCATCAGCTCAGGGTGTCTCGGCCCAAAACAACTTCCTGGGTTACCGAAAGACTAAAACATCATTCTTTGGAGGAAGGACGGGAAACAGATGGTAGGAAAAACAAAAAAGTGGATGGATTGAATGCTTCTGTTGGGTAGGGTGTATACCTAGAGAATACTTCTGAAGACTTTTTGTTATGTGGTACTTGATAAGCCAGGAATGGCAGAAGAGTGACAAAATAGCATCCCTGCCCTCATTTTTGTCAATACAAAGCAGGACTCTTGCACAAGGGACATTACTCTCGCTCACGTCTTGACCCGTCTTTATTTGTAGCATAAACATGTGGTAACAACCAGAGGAGCCAAGACAGTTGTTGGATGCACAGGTCTTATGCACTCTTCTTCACTCCTGTTAAATCATCTCCCCGTCCCACGTTCCTGACCCTCAACTGCTGGTTAATACAGTTGTTTATTAATTACTATTGGTCTTGAATGCTGCTCCTCGTGCTAATAGAAGGGCTAAGATTAATAAAGCCTGCTTAGGCTCTGCTGCACCATTCTGTCTCAGGTGAAAATCTGGAACATTCCTCAGCACTTGCTCACCAAAAGCATCACAGAGGCACAGAAGGAGCTTCTTGGACATTCCCGGAGGGTGGGCCTCATCGAATGGCACCCCACTGCAAGTAACATCCTTTTCAGCACGGGTTATGATTACAAAGTGAGTCGGGAGTCTGTGAACCTTAATTTCAAACCTGATATGCAACCGTTCTCTTTTGTTTCTTGTGGGTCATTGTCAAGGTGTCTGAGGACTGTGGAGTCGATAAAGCGGGTGGCGTGTTATAGTGGCATGCAGCTACAGGGGCCACATTTTGTCTTGTGGCTGTGTCATTCCTCCCAAATTACTCTGGCCAAAATGCCTCACGGAAATAAGCTATTAATTTTTTAAAATATGAGTAACACTGTGCAGAATTTTGACTGTGTGTTCAAAGTTCATAATGTCAGCCTGTCCTTTGCTGCCATTGAGCGATGGTGCCAGATGTTGTGCTTCCACCCTAGGCACATAGAGCGCATTGGGACTGTGGGTGGAGTGATTCTGATGTAATCAGAGATTGGAAAAATTATGTTTTTGGACTACAACCTCCAGAATACACCAGGCAGCATGGCCACGACTGGGGGGGGGGGTTGTGGGTGTTGGGAGTCCGGGCAATAACTTTTCTAAGCTTTGGGTGTAAGAAAATGGTACAAAGAGCAGCAGGATACTGGTGGGTGGGGTTACTGCACAGGGTTTTTTTTTTAATGTCTTGTCACCACAGTGAGAGACTAACTCAGGAAACATGCCTGTATATTATCCTCTATCTCAGATCATGATCTGGAACCTTGACACCAAAGAGTATCTCATTCAGGCCCCAGTGAAGACAATCAGCTTCCATACAGATGTGGTCCTTTCCATGTCGTTCAACACAGATGGCAGCCTCTTAGCCACAGCCTGCAGGGACAGGAAAATACGGATCATCGACCCACGAGTGGGGACTCTTCTACAGGTTAGGCTGGGCTAGTGAGTTAAATTGGCAAGAAATTGGGAAGAAAATGCCATTTCTTTTTTTCTCTGACACAGGGCAGAGAGGAAGTTCTATTCTTATGCATAGGATAGAATAGGCATAGGCCAGATGGTGGGGGTAGTGTTTTCTTCTGAAGCAGTAAGGTATGGAGCAGGAGAGCTCAGGAAACTGGCTCCGATCTGCATTGGACCACACTACTCAGAAAAAGCTGGGATTTCTAAGCTCGATCTGCTCTGGAGCCAGATGGTACTTTCAGAGATACTCCTTAGGGAGAGGGAGATTGTTGGGCCAGTGTTTCATTGGCAGTTGTCCTTCTGATTTCCTCCAAGTTCAGAAAAGTCAATGGTGCAGGAGATGTGGGAGAAAGAATGGAGGAGATAGATTGCATGCCTGTTGTGACGTCAGACAGGCTTTGGGCAATCTGCAGCTCTGGGTCAGCACGTGATTTCAGAAGCCTTTCATGAGGCGTCAGCTCAGACTTCAGACAAGAGGGGTCTGTCACTATCTATGGAAAAGAAGGGGCCAGGGAAGGCCAACTCCATTAGCCCAGTTAAACACATCTAAATCTGAATCCAACCATCTGTTTTGAATTAAAAAGCTGCATAGACCACAAGGCACCAGGACCAGACCAGATTGGGCAGCTGGCTGCCTGAGGCCCACAGATACTTGAAAGGCCCCAGAAAACTGGCATCTGTTGCTCCATTGTGTCCTGGTCGTGGACCCTCCCCCCCTGGGAATTTGTGCTGCTCTCATCACATTTGTTCCATCGTCATCCTGATTTCACCCTCTCCGTTGCTTTCCCTGGAGCTCAAGGGGCCCATCGGGTGGGTGATGGAGAGCTGGATTAAGGACTGAAGATGGGAGTGAATGGGGCACTGTCAGCTGCATTCTGACATCACTCTTTGAAGGCTTTGGCCTGGTCTGACTGTGACTCACGGAAATACCTGAAGAAACTGGTTTTCCGGGCCTGGAGTTGGGGCTTTCCCTAAACAAGTTGTTAACAGTGGATGGTCCTATGTCTGGTTTTAGAGAAGAATCGCCACTCCTGAAGTTTTCTCTTGAAAATATTCCTTTTCAGAGTAAACTATATATATATGATGGGGGTGGCGGCAGCAAGATCTGGGAGCTACAGAATTACCGTATTTTTCGCACCATAAGACACACTTTTTTCCCACAAAACAGGGGGGTGGAAGGTCCCCTGGGAGCTACAGAATTAGGCAGGGGCACGTTAGCCACCCCTGGACTAGTGTTGTCATGGCAACCTCAGGCTTTCCTGCCCATGGAGGAGTCCATGCCTTGTGCATACAGAGCAACTCTGCCTAAACTAAGATTAAGTCAAATAAAATCATCTTAGAACTACAGTACAGACCTGGAAGGGAACCTATGAATCATCAAGTCCAGCCCATGTCAGGGAGGCACAGTAGGGAATCAAAGTCCCAACCTCTGGCTCCAGAGCCAGAGACCTAAACCACTGAATGCCTTGTGCATATAGAGCAACTCTACCTAAACTAAGATTAAATCAAATAACATCATCTTAGAACTGCAGAGCTGGAAGGGAACCTATGAATCATCAAGTCCTGCCCATGTCAGGGAGGCACAGTAGAGAATCAATGTCCCAACCTCTGGCTCTGGAGCCAGAGACCTAAACCACTGAATTATCCAGCAGTTAGGTTTGGTAGAACAGGTGGATGAGAAACACAAGCTTTTAAAGAGGATAAATTATTGGGAGAAGATAGTGGAGTTTCCTGGCTCCTCCTCCTCCATCTCATCCCATCCCTTGTATTTAGGAATATTCATTTCTTTCTGGGTCCTTTCTGTTACAGCTCTCAAATCCTCAACCTCTAACCCCATTTTCCTACTGCTTGACATTTGAAATGCTTTCATGTGCCAGACTTTCCCCCTGTCCTCCTGCCATCTTAAACATCCCAGTCATCTGAGGGTCGAGAGTAAGGGGCCGGATGAGTTGCAAATGAGCTCAGTTTGTTTTGCTGTAGATCTTCAGGAGTTCTCAGCTGCCTTGCCTTTGAAATCAGATCTCTCACAGCGTCTTCCTGCTTGCCACCAACCCCTCTCGAGCCCTGCAGATTGCAACCTTCTTATTTGAATGGAGGGCTAAGGGCGGAGGGAAAGAAGCTAGTGGCCCGACATAGAAGAGTAGCCTTTGAGAGAGCACACTCCCTCTGACAGGAACTCCCGGCTCAGATGGTTCATTCATTTACATGCTCAGGACCCCAGTGCCCGATGGCACGGTGCCTGAGGCTCCCATCAAGTGCCTTGATCACCCTGCATTAAGATGACTCTGGCATTGTTTCAAAGAGGGTTGGTGCTGCCTTAGCTGAAGAGGTAGACAGGCAAGTCCTACGAATTGTCCTGGTGGCCAGCTGACAAAAATTGCTTGTAACCATTAGGAAGTGTAGGCGAGCTTCGCTGAAGGCAAAATTATGCAGTGTGCTTGGTTTCTCATCAGTAACATGCCCTGTCTCCTTGCAGGAAGCAAACAACAAGTCTCACAGAGTGAATAAAGTTTTGTTTCTAGGAAACATGAAAAAGCTGCTCTCCACGGGGACGTCCAGGTGGAATAACAGGCAAATTGCACTATGGGATCAGGTGGGTTGCCAGGGCCGTTCCTTGCAAGCTCTCACTGCATGAACAGTTTTGTCACAGATTGCCCTTTAATTCTCTCTCTCTCTCTCAAAATTCTGTTCCTTCTCTGTTGATTTAATTTCTTCAGTCATAGAAAAAAAAGGTCCCCTTAGACTTTGTATAGACTGTATAGATTCAGAGACAGTAAAATGCTAGAATATGACTAGAAACAATTAAAGGCCTATTTAGTGCCATTATCATTTCATACACAGCAAGAATTCTCTCCAAATAGGATTCTTCTGTATGATTGGAAGATTCAGTCATGGAAACCCAACCTGTGTTTTGATATGGTCCTAGTGGAAAGGTTTGTTTATCACCTCAGTGAGCACCTCTGTCATTTTCTTGCAGGGCAGGTCACACGGAGAAATACAGCTTTGTCCTTGACATGCTATTTCTCTATATGGTGGGAGGGTTGTTTTTAAATGAACATGCATTCAAAGGCACAGTTCTGGCCCCAGAGTGAAATGGTTCAATCTGAGGGAAACGTGACCCTACTCCCGTTCCTTGAAGCAAGGTTTGCTTCCTTCACAGAGCTTCCTGGTCAGATTTGGGGTTGGAATTGAACTTCTTCTCAGCTCATATTGGCCACCGATCTCAAAGGTTTATTTGGAAGATAACCCATGTAGTTTGGCTTACTTGTTTGAGTGATTTGAAGTAGCTATCTTCCAGGGGAAGGGGGAGTTTGGTTTGCAGCTCCTCCATTTATAACACAGCATTTACTGCTAAATAATTTTGATGCCTAGAAAATGTGGAATATACAACCCCATCAACACTTCCTTGTGGCTGTATATTGTGGGTGAAAATGGGCAGCACTTGTCTCCCCCCCCCCAAATATCTATATTTACTGCAGATAAAAGAAAATAAATAGATCATTTTTGGGGGAAGTTAAACTAGCATTTCTGGTTTTCTCATCTGGAAAGCCCTAATAAATGCACAAGGAAGTTTGATGGAGGTTCACCTCCTGAACTGAGGAACATAGTTTGAACATATTCAACAGTTCTTCTTTGAATTGTGTGTTCAGAATTGAACATCCTGCTCCACATGAATGCTGGGAAGAACTACTTTTGAATTTTGCAAACTATTGTCTGAAGGCAGGAGACTTCCTTGGTGTTGAGAGCTGCTCTGCAGGAGTATCTCCTGGTAGTCGTTTCAGATGTTCCATATTCCTCCCCAGGGTCTACTCCAAGATTGGGTGGGCGAGGGAATGCCCTCACTCTTCTGGCCATTTTAAGCAAATGCCACATATGTGTGGCCCTCTTCAAATTTGGCCCTGTGGTGTCATTAAAAATGATTTGGGTTGATTTAGAATGATTTTGCGCTTAAGCAAAATAACTAAAAGTAGTGAGGTGGTTAAAAAAAAGATAACAAGTAAATAATCAACAAATGAATGAATTAAAACAAGTACAGATCAAAGATGGCAAGAGAAACAAGCCTCGTTTACTGGTATGGCTAGTTGTTATATAAGGTGCAAAACTGAAGGGAAGCTACAGTATGCTCGCACCAATTTAAGAATTCCCTGCAATATGCTCTTGTCATATTCTGTCTGTCCAATGTACTGCAGAATGTTATTGTTTCCTCAGGTTCAGTTGACCCGAGTTCTCTCTGTGTGGTGTTACAGTCCAGATTTCACCATTTTAGCTGCACTTGGCAGCATCACATAATCTGGAGACTTTCCTATAGAACACCCCCAAGATATTCCCTCCACGTGAAATGCTTGCATGGTGGGGTAGAATCGTATCTCCCTGACACCTCTCTCTGTGTGTAATTTTTTTGTTTTCAGGAGCATTCATGGGTTTGAGTTCCAACCTATTGTCTCATAGCCCAGTCCCCAATCTGCCACTTCCGTGAGATCTGGTCTTCAGGGCATTCTGACTCCTGTGTCCTAGGTAGATAACAAGTGGCTTTCAGATGCTGTTGGAGTGTAACTACCATCAGCCCTAATCAGCCTTGGCAGAAGTCAAGGATTATGGGAACTGTAGTCCAGCAAACTCTAGAGAGGCATATGTTGCTCAACTCTCTAACTTCTTGATCTGTGCTGTTTTTTTCTCCCCCCCCCCAGCATCTTGAAATAATTTTTCATTTTTCAGCAGCATTTTCTGTTTCCCTTTTTACATGCAGAGTGATCTTTCTGTGCCTTTACTTGAGGAGGATGTTGATGGCTCATCAGGTCTCTTGTTTCCTTTCTATGACTCCGACACACACATGCTTTATGTGCTTGGCAAGGTGAGTCTTTATCTTGACACAGAGTCTAAATAAATGGTTTTGATTAAACTTTTGAGTGATCTCAGTGCAGTACAATTAGACAAGAACAAGTAATTTTCTTTGTCTTTCTAATTCTAGCACCTTCCTGCACAAGAACTGGCATTTGCATGATTGACTGTAGACTTCTTAAGGACATTGTGCTGAAATTTCAAGTTGTCACTATTCAGAAAGGCTCCTCTTGCTTAATAATGCTGGACAGAACATTAATTGCCTGCTGTTTTGAAGCACTACATGTTTCTGATTTCCCCCCTTCTCAGGTGGCTGAATGTGTTTTGTGGTAGTAGGCTGTGCAAGTATGCCAGGCAGCATACATTTCAGCAGTGAATTGGTACTAGTTAAGAAGTTGGTGTAGGTATTTGTTGTCATGTGCCTAACCATGTGTCTGGTGTGCAACAAGAAATGCCTATGCTGTCGTCTTAATTAATGGCAATTCACCACTGAGAAATTGCACCGAAGGAGTTATGTTGATGGCTATAGGTAATAAGATTCTGGACTATGTGTATGTTACACAACATTCCCCCATTTAAAGTTGTATAAAATCAATGTAAGTGTGGAGTGCAGACCACTCCCTCTTATTCAAAGAAACCAGTTAAGGTGGCATGACTAGAATTCAAAGAAGAATCCTGGCAACTAGACAATGGCCACAGGCCTGTCATTCATGCCTGCCAGCGTAATTTTATCAGCATATATTCAGCAGCACATTGCTGCAAGTTAGGAAGCCGGCATAAACATTTGCCATTGCACACCAGTCATGTGACTCTGTATGCAATAGCAAATGCTTACACTGATTTCTTAACTTGCACCAAATCACTGCCGAAACCAATGGAGTAAAGGCCTGATGTAATTGTATAACAGGATCCAACCAATTTAGCAATTTTACTTTTTCTTCCTACTAAGCTTTTCTCCCTTCACCTTAACTTTATGCTTAAATGGGCTGGTTCTAATGCTATCCCAACCAGCTGTAAACATCTGGATTAAAGCCCTAGGTTTTCTGCTTTGGAGGAGACCTCTTGCTCCCAGGGAAGTTGGTGTACCTCTGTGGTACAACATGGTACAGGCAGTTTTAGTTAAAATTAGTTTAAATTTTAGTTTGTAGTTAAAATTAAATAGTCCATATAAACAATCAAGATGCATACCCCCATAGTAAGCATTGATAAGTTTATATTGCAGTGCTTCCGGAAGTGAAGGATTGGCCAACTGCACGCTGGTAACCAGGGGACAACAAAACACAGGTCTGTGCCTTCCATTTAAAGAAGCAGAAAGGAAGCTCTGAGTTAGCTGGGAAGGGAAGATTTTGGAACACTGCCCTACCCCAGAGTATTTGGATATTACTCTGGATCGAACCCTGACCTATAAAAAGCATTGTCTAAACAGAATGTTACTGCCAGAAAAAATATACTTAGGAAACTGGTTGGGTCAGACTAGGGTGCACACCCACGTACAATAAGAACAGCTTTGTCCTTGTGCTGCTCCACAGCAGAATACAGTGGTGCCCCGTATAGCGACTTGGCACATTAATTATTATTCAATGCATTATTGTTCAATGCAGCACATGCATGATTCATTAAGAGTTACATCCACTTGTTTGGCAACTCAGCACATGTCAGACAATACACCAAGAGGCGCTAGCAAATACCATGTTTCCCCCGAAAATAAGACAGGGTCTTATATTAATTTTTGCTCCAAAAATGCATTAGGGCTTATTTTCGGGGATGTTTTATATTTTTCATGTACAATAATCTACATTTATTCAAAGACAGTCATGTCATCTTCTTCTCGTTGCTGCCCAAGGGGGGGCAGGTTTTCACTTAACTGGGGCTTATTTGGGAGGTAGGGCTTATAGGTATGAAAAATCATACTAGGGCTTATTTTCAAGTTAGGTCTTATTTTCAGGGAAACAGGGTAATGATTGAAACAAAATAATGCAACGCCAAATACATCCATTTCATTTCCAGCAATTCCCTATACAAAAGCTAAAATTAAGGAAAAGTTTTCTGCACACCTCTCAAGCTCTTAAGTATTAAACCAAAGGAGGTTAGGCTTAAACCTATGGAGAACAAAATGCCTGAATGGATGAATGCTGAAGAGTGACTCCCATCAGGACAAAACTCTAGCCGGACCCTCTGGTAGTCACTCAATAGACTTCGAAGTGAAGTAGGAATATTGAAGAATAATCACGTAACACAGGACACATTTTTTTGTGACTGGAGAAATTCAAAGCAGCTCTGATGTTCCTGCAATTTATTAAAGTAGCCTGCTTCTGGTTAAAAATAGTCTAATCTCAACATTTTAATCTGTTTTTAATTTTACCTAAATTTCTTGTATGTTTATAATTTTAAATTGTGCAATGCTCTGATGCAAAGAAATGAAGACCCTCGTAGTCCCCTTGGTAGGTGTGCCAAGTGTCAGACATCTAGGTTTCAGGCCTTTGAGTTACAGTGGAGACAGACGGAAAGACATTGCCTTATTATTGATATTTTTAAAACAGTGAATCAGCCTTAAAGTGTGTGATTGCATGGTTAACATCACACAAAATGGAGTCACACACACACACACACACACACACACACACACACACACACACACACACACACACACACACACACACACACACACAGAGAGAGAGAGAGAGAGAGAGAGAGAGAGAGAGAGAGACCTATAGCTATAATCAAGAAAAAAGGCAGTCACTAAAGTAAAATAGGTAGAGCAGAACAAAGGATGTTGGCAGGTACATTACATTAGTAGAGATTTTGGAGTTTTTAAACGACAGTGTGACCTTTTGTGGATGACAGCCCACTTCTTCAGAAGGAGAAAAGCCATTGGGAGAGAGTGCTGTGCCCCAGAGAAGACTTGGCCCTGAGGCCCTGCGTGGGCTTCAGAGCCAAATGGTGGTTTGAAAGTGGGTTGTCCACTTCTTCAGAATGAACGGCCAACATGTATGTTCTCTCACACACACACACACACACACACACACACACACACAAAGTGCTCCACGTAATAGTGCCCGGAGCCAGGCCTCCTCAACACCTCGGGGAACCAACAGTGGCTCTTTGTGTCTCCCATTGTCTCTAGGGAGATGGGAACATCAAGTACTATGAAGTCAGCCCAGAGAAGCCATACCTACATTTCCTGATGGAGTACCGCTCCACTTTGCCCCAGAAAGGAATAGGTGAGTATGCAGCAGTTGAGCTGTTCATTATACATCCCAGGAGAGCGGAAGAAGGGGGCCGCTGAACAGGTGGGACAACAGGGCAGGGGAGCTTTTCCTGAGGAGACAACAGGTCTACGTCGGTTCCCCCTCCCTTTAGTTTTTTCACAGGGGTGCCACATGGGTGAGACCCTTGGCTCACGTCCCTTCCCTCTGCCAATAAGGGTACTGACCAAAGCTCCCTTTCCTAGCCTAGCCCTGTCCGCGTGAGTTGGGCTACAGCAGGAGCCGTCGTCTGGCACCAGCATCATTTGGCCCCAGCTTAGTGAACTCTTCCCTCTCATTAACAGCCCCCTAGCTGTGCAAGAGCTTGCAGCCGAGGTGGGGGATGGGAGGGAGTTCCCCTCATTGTAGCTGTTATGTGCTCCCTCTTTCTCTTGAGATTTTGACCCAGAGCCAGCAAAGTGTGAGCCACAAGGCTGGTGGAGGAGGAGGAGAAGGAGAGTGGAGTCAATAGCAGGTTGTTAAGAAGAAGGCAGGAGGGGTTTCGGTTTGTTACCAGGGGATTTCAGGTTGCAGAGAAGGATATCTCATAGATGGAACTGGAGAACGTTGTGTGTGTGTGTGTGTGTGTGTGTGTGTGTGTGTGTGTGAGAGAGAGAGAGAGAGAGAGAGAGAGAGAGAGAAGGTAAATTACACAGAGCAAAGTGGTGTGTTCTCTCATGTTTGGTGGAAAACAATAGAAAAGGGGCACACAGGGGAAGAGTTAAGCAAGCCCCTTACCCTCTGTCCCCCTTTCTCCAGATCTCCTTCTTCTTTGCCGAAGAGCAGCAGTAGTAGCAGCAGCAATGGTTTCCAGCTTGTTTTCTGCTGCTGAGTGTGTGGTTCCGTTCTCTTACGACCGGTCTTTGTTGCCGTTTAGGTGTCATGCCAAAGAGGGGTCTAGATGTCTCTTCCTGTGAGATCTTCCGATTCTATAAGCTGATTCCAGTCAAAAGTATGATTGAGCCCATTTCTATGATCGTGCCTCGACGGGTAAGGGCATATCTCTGCTTTGATGGCTTTTTACTCTTTTGGGACCAGAGATGGCTGCCCTTGAGGCTATCTGCTCAGATGTAGTGTGTTCTGGTGTCTCTTTGCAGTCTGAATCTTATCAGGAAGACATCTATCCGTTGACAGCCGGAGTCCAGCCAGCTCTGACAGCCCAAGAATGGCTGAGCGGTGTTAATAAAGGTCAGCCACGTTGATATTCCAAAGGTGTAGAATCAAAACCAGTTCTTCAACTATCTAGTATAGCTGCCTCATCACTTTCACTGATGGTCCGCTAGAGGCTGAACACACTGGAGCCACCCTGGAGCTTTGAAGGAGTTGTTGTTTCTCAAAATGAACCCCTCCAGCCTGTGCAGCATGCCCTGGGAAACAGAGGCTACAGTGTCAGCGGAAGAGACTGTCTTTATAAGTACAAATTATATCTTCTGAGTATCTCTGGATGGGCAAAGGAGATTCACAAGGGCCAGGGTGGTGTGGGATTGAGAGTATTAGCTAGAACTAGGACTAGGGAGATTGCGGTTCAAATCTCCGTATTTATAAACCACCCTTACCTACTTTATAGGATAGAATAGTTGACTGGAGGGTTCTGTGAGTTGGAGAATCTGGCAGTGGAGCCAGGGGTCAAGAATTCAGTTGCTTATACCAAGGGTCCCCAACCTTGGACCTCCAGAGGTTCTTGAACAACAACTCCCAGAAGCCTTCACCACCACCTCTGCTGGCCAGGATTTCTGGGAGTTGAAGTCGAGGAACATCTGGAGGCCCAAGGTGGGGGACCACTGGCCTATGGTGTCTTCCTCAGGGTGCCTGGAGGGTGGCAGAAGAGCCAGTCTCTGTAACTATGGCAAAGTGCAGTCCTAGAGCGCCACCAGAAGAAGGGAATGGCAAAACACACCAGTGCTCTATAAGAATAGGGTCACCATCAGTCTGAATTGACTTGACGGCATGTATTTATCTTTAATTAAGGATAAAATGGCGAGGAAGAGCATGCATGCTAACTTCATATCCATGAGGGGGGAGGTGATGGGGCGGGAGGCGAGATGTAAGTGAGATAAGCAAATCTGTGCTGACTTCTACCTGTGTAAGTTACACAATGAGGTGATCTCTAATGGTTATCAGCGGATAGAGCAGTCTTTGAATTTTGGAATTCACTGTTAAGAAATAACATTCCAAAACTCTACCTGCTGTCAGACTGGTGCTCTGTATCAGTCTTCCTTTCACAGCCAATATGAGATGTCCTCTACATCAGGGGAAGGGCAAATTTAGCTGGTCTGAGGGTTGGGTTTCTCCCCCTGGGATCCTCCACAGCTGTATGGACAGCAAATGACATGAAGAAAAATCCCCCAAAAAGAAAGGAAAAGGAAACCAGCAGGGTTTAGAGTTGCTTCCAGTTTTAAAAAATTGGTATTTGGGTTTTTTAAAAAAAGGTTTGGAGGACTGGCACATTTTTAAAATTGCTATTCATAGAGACATTTATGAGCTGTGGCCATCCCACCTTTTTTTGCTAGAAGAAGGAGGGTCTGGGGGTAAAAACAGCTTTGGTGGTACAGTTCCCTCTCCTGTGCTTTGTACCAAGGATAGGGACTGACCAGTTTCTGAGACGTTCTTGTGGCGGGGCTGGGGGCGGGCAGGAATGGTCACATTTTAGCGTTTATCATCACTGTAGGCAGAAGACTGAGACCAAAAATGGTATCTTAAAACTCTTGGCCAGTAACTGAGCCTTTTGGAGAGGCATTTTAGCCTTTAAAATGACCCTGTGTATGGGCAAACATGAAACAAAGGTGGAGGTACACAGAAGAGGGTCTGGTCATCAGGGAAATCCCAGAGGACCAGATTGGGACCCAAGGAGAAATTATTAAGGCCTCCCCCCCCCCAAATCATTCATTGCCGAGGCTAGTGCAGCTTCTACATACTGGATCCTGAAACCTCCTTTGTTCACGGTCTTTGTGAACAATGCTCTGTTGGGTCGCCTGCAGGTCCGGTCTTGATGTCTCTGAGACCAGGCTCTGTAATCTTGAACTCTTTGCCGCCATTTCCTGAGACGAAGGAGATGTCCCTGGAAGCGACAGAGCCTGTTCGTTACCTGGGCAAGATGACTGCCACCACTGAGAGGTTGAGCAGAGTCCACGAGAAATGGGGATACAGGAAGGCGGAGGAAAAGGGACAGGAAGAGAAGCCAGTGGGCTTGTCGAATGGCTTTGATGTGTTCGAGTGTCCCCCACCCAAAACAGAAAATGAGGTATGATGCTTCGACAGAAGGGGGAGACATGTTGATCAGCAACTTTGTTTACTTTGCTAAGACTAACTGTTTAACCTGAAGGCTTGAAAGCTAGAAATCAGCCCATAGAAAACTTCAGACTGAGGGCACTTCAGGGTGTACCACAGGGAATGCAAATAAGCTCAGGTGGGTGTTTACTTCTGGGTAGCTCAGCTATTGCAGATCTATTAGAGATATGGGCTCTTGTGCATGGACAGATTAACACCACAGCAGAATAGCATAGCACCCTGCTCTCCCCCACAGTTGGGCTTCCAATGCAAACAGCCACTGTGGAGGTTAGATGACCATGAGGCCAGCCTTCAGAGGTTCCCTTTACCCACCAGTATCTTGTGAGTTGCCGTCTGTGCACACTGAAAAGGAAAGAGTTTGGTTCTTGACCCCATGCCAGTCTTCCTTGGCCAGTACCCATCTGGAGAGGGATTGAACAAAAAGTACAAATGGAATGGATTTGTGAATGGGATGAGTTTGTGAATTTACTTTGTGTGCCATTAGTAATGTTTTCAGTACATTATACACATTTTTCCTGTGGCATTTTCTTTTAAAGACTTCCCTTTTTTTTTCTTCCCATATGTCTTTCCTTATTCCTTTACTTACTTACTTATTTGCCTACTTTATTTCTGTTCCACCTTTCTCCTAGCAGTGGGACTCAACGTGGCTCACAGAGTACTAAAACAGTTAGGAATTAAAACAAGAAACATGTTAAGTACTAAAATCATAATATAAAAATAGATTAAAAAGTATAAAAGCATTTGAAAACCCATTAAAAAGGATATACTGGCAGAAAGCGTAGGTCAACTAGCTATGTTAAAATTTGATATTATTAAAGGTAAAGGTTCCCCTTGACATTTTTAGTCCAGTCGTGTCTGACTCTAGGGGGCGGTACTCATCCCGTTTTTCAAGCCGTAGAGCCAGCGCTTGTCTGAAGACAGTTTCCGTTGGCACATGGCCAGTGTGACTAAGGAACGCCATTTTACCTTCCCACCGAGGTGGTACCTATTTATCTACTCGCATTTGCATGCTTTCGAACTGCTAGGTTGGTGAGGAGCTGGGGCAAAGCGATGAGAGCTCACTCCGTCGCGTGGATTCAATCTTACAACTGCTGGTCTTCTGACCCTGCAGCACAGGCTTCTGCGGTTTAGCCCACAGTGCCACCACGTCTTTTTGATATTATAAACAATGTTTAAAAAAAATCTCTTTGGACAAAAGCGTTTTCAGTTGTTGTCCCTATTCACGTTGATGTGTGTTCGTGGGTGAATTTTTTTCCTTCTTCCTTCCTCTTCCTTCCTCTGTAGCATTTCAAATAAACATTCAAATCTGTGGTGGACCGATCAGGATAGTAATATATGAAATCTTTGCTTTTCCAGCTGCTGCAGATGTTTTACCGTCAGCAGGAAGAAATCCGGAGGCTCCGTGAAGTGCTGATCCAGCGAGATGTCCAGATCAAACAGCTAGAGCTGGAGATCAAAAACATCCGCATGGATTCAGGCAGATTCTGACAGGTCTTAGGCTCGGCAGTCTTTGGGGGGACAGTTTATCCCTGGAACTGTTGTTGCCTCGTAGTGCTCCTGTGGGGAGACTATGGGCTAGAATGGAGAAGGGGAGATTTTCTAGCAACCGACTGACTGCCTTGAATGCCTGTTTCCTGCCAGCTGGAGGCCGCTGGGGCTCTTTCTGGAGCTTTGCTTTCCAGCCAGCCTCGGGACAAGGAGCTACACCTGGCATAAAAAACTGGCCCAGAATTGCTCTTGGGAGATGGAAAAGGCCCTTCAAGATGAAGAAGGAGGCTCCTGCAGCACCCTGCCCCTGGCCTCTGAGGAGCAGGGTGTCCCTCAGGTTCCAGCCCCAGTGGCCCCTTGAGCTTGACTGTGTGGCAATGGTTTCGACCGACCGTCCTGCGCTGAACTACTGCAACGCAAGGAAGAAGCCACTGGGAGCACCTCAGGGCTCTTCCTTCTCCCTCTGGAGACCTTGATGGAGGAGCAACATAATTCTACGTGGAGTTACTTGCGCCTTCTGTGGCCCTGGGTGGTGGGAGGAGGTTGGGTGCATGGGCTTAAGTCATCAGCTTCCTTTTTTCACATCTTGCTTTGAAAATACAGTTGTGACCAACAGGTGAGGAACAAAATAATATGTGTTGGTATTGGAGGATGGAAGGGGCAAGAGCGCATCTTTTAGAGAACTAGTGTCAAAAGCCAAAAATTGGCATGAATGCTTAGTGAGTATAGTAGGACTGTGATATCTGTGGGGGATCAGTTCCAAGCTCCCCTGCGGATGCGGGAAAACTGCAGATATGTATATATAGTATATATATATGTATTGCAGTCTCTGGTTCCCTCTATTGGCCAGTTCTGGTAGTACACCTTGGAATCGTATATTTCTGGGTGCTTTTTTATTTAATATTTTCAGGCAGCAGCTAAGTGAAACTGCTGGTTCTGATCCTGTGGATATGGCGGTTCTACTGTATTCTGAGAGGATACAGAGCTAAAGTGCAATGTGTCAGAAGCAGAAAGTGTCTGTAGCTCTAATTTTACAAACAGCCATTTTCCAACTTTGCCTATAATTTTTCCCCTAAGGATCACTTTATGCCTTAAGAAAACAGTAAGGACTGCCCACACGTTCTCGAAGATGGCTTTCTTCCCCAGTGCTTCAAGTGCTACCTTTCAGGTCGCTTCCTCTTTCTTTGCCTCTGCCTGGACTGGGGGGGGGGGTTGTAGTGCCGTGTCCAAGGAAAAATGAGCGCTGATTTTCAGCTGCTCTCAATGATCTTCCATTATTTTTCCAGATCCTTATAGTCTGTGTTTTTAATTTCTTAGCATGGTAAAAAGCACTCATCTTTCAAATGGCTTTCCATCTTCTCCTTTGACGCGTACAATTAATACTTTGCCTGACCATCCATTTGTTTCTTTAGCTGCTCCTTTCATTCTTGTCTGTGCGAAGTACCTTCTCCCAGCCAGTTTTCCTTGCTGGTCTTGGGGTCAGCTGGTCTCAAGTGTCCAAAGATTGGGAAGCCCCGAGAGTGAGGGATGCTTTTTTGAATCTTCTGGGCATATATAGTACTTCTGAGCCTCCCCCCCCAGCAGTGCCAAGCAAACCAAGCATGGCTAGGCCTCTGTGGCAGCACCCCTGAAAGAGTGTTCTGCCTTGTAATAAGATCAGGCCAGGCATGGCTAGGCCTCTGTGGCGGCACCCCTCAAAGAGTGTTCTGCCTTGTAATAAGATCAGAACACCTAACCGTTCGTTCCTGTTTGCGTTAACACAAGAATACTGTGTTATGAGAGTCCAGGCTCCCCCAAGATCTGTCCAGGATTTGACAGCAAGAGCAAAGATGAGAAGCTAAAAGAGTTGTAAACAACCATAGAGGATTGAGCTGCAAGCAAACTGAAGGCTGTGGCATCAGACATTTAAGCCAGGAATAGCATTCTCCACCTAATCTGTGTACTGCCTCTGAATACGCTTGAATTTTTGCATTCTTTTCACTTGAAGCAGGAGTTCCTCTTCCACTCATCCTTCACTTGAGTCCTTCAGAAAGACTCTGTCAAGTGCCCACTTTCAACTGCAGCACTCCCCAGTGGCTTGGGAACAACCTGGGCCCTGGTATGCATTTCCCTCGTTTTCTTTTCCTGTGTCCGTTCCTTTTCCTTTGAACTGCCACTGGAAGAACACCATGTAGCCAATCTTCACATGTAGCAGAAAACCAGTTGTGCAGTTTTTAACGGATTGTACCGTCCAGACAGGTAGGAGGTGGTGCTTGAACACTTTCCTAAGAGGGAGCGTCCCTCTGTATAGCAAATGTCTACGTTTTGCAGAGAAAGGTGCTTTCTCCCTGACACATTATTTTAATAATAACCTTAGAACTGCAGAGCTGGAAAGGACCTTGTGGATCACTGAGTCCAGCCCCTTGTCAAAGAAGGCACAGTGGAGAATCGAACTCCCAACCTCTGGCTGCACAGCCAGAGGACCTAAAAACATTGAACTATCCTGCGTGTTATGTTTACATTCAGAGATGCAGTTCTTCCTGTGTAAAAGAATACAATCCAAGAAAAGCTATTTTACTTGATTTTGATGCTTAAGTGACCTGCCTTCCATTTTTATGTTCAGAAATGGTGTAGGGAGCATCGTGGAACCCACAGGAAGCTCTGGACCACATTCACACACCAAGCTTTATAGTTTTAGATTAGCTGACATCTCACTATTAAGGCTAGTATCCTGTTGAATATTTAGGTGCAGGTGGTATTCCAACTCAGAAGCTGCCATCGCGAGATGATGAGGTGCCATTCACATCCGACTAGGCGCATGACTGGCACCTCATCAGACAGGGGCAAATTAGCTGGGTGTTCTGCCTGCTTAAATACCGAACAAGATACTAACCTGAGAGTATTTTATAGTCAGTGTTTGTGGGATTTTAACCCTTCAAACACTGGTACCTTTACCTAGATTACAGTGATTGTAGTCAACCTAGGCATCCGGTTTGTTCTAGGGATGAGCAAAGTTCCTGCTTGATGCCTTCACACCTTTAGCCCACCCACTATATTGAAAACCAGTGTGTAATTATGATAGCTTCACTTACACTGCTAATCCCATGTTAATGAGAGATCTCAGTTCCCCAGTGAAAGCGTATCTGCAGCAGGCATATTGTTCAGCACTCAAGCTATGGATGGAAGCTATGCACATACAAGTTTGTTTTGATATTTGGGCAGAGGTGCTTAATTTGCCCCTCTGGATCGCCATCCATAAGCAAATATTTGGTGAAAGTCCAGCTTTCATTTTAAACAGGTTTTATGCTCAGATGTGACTGTAGACGTTGTGCATGCATGGTATGCGTCTGTACAAGCTCTGCTCCCTTCCAGCTCTGGTTAAGAGTGTAGACAGCCCCTAACTGGATTGAGAAGAATTATACCTTGCAATGTGTGGGATTCTTCTTGTTTACATGCAGAATAAAATTAAAAATATCTGTCAGCTTAGGCAAAAGGAAATTTAAGTTTTTAAATACGTTTTTTCAAGTATACTTTGGTATTTTTTGTGTGCTTGTTTTTATGCATTGATCTGAACAGCAAAGATGTTAGCCATTTGTCAAAGGGATTCATTAATCTACTTGAAAGAACTACATATATATTTACTGCATTTTTTTTGGTTAACCAATAACCTTTCAAGAAAGGCGATCCAATCAACACCTGATTTTTTAAAAAATCATTTCTTTAAAGAAAACCTCACGATATAGTACACAGCAGCAAAGCTGTACTCACTTTGGGTTTTGTGGAGGAGGAGAAAGAAAAAGACACCTGTACTGTAATCTCAAACTGGTAATGCTTTATTAAACAGTGCCTAATTATATTTAAAGATGAATAAACTGATGGTGTTTTCTTCAGGGCTTTTAAATGAAATTCTTATTTAAAAAATAAGTCACAGTGCAGTGGGAACAAACAAACACTAAATGAAAAAATATCTGTGTTCTGTGCTGTCAGGTTGGAAGTGACTTGCAGCAATCCCAATAGGGCTTTCCAGGTAAGTAGGATATTTTACCAATTCAACACATACCCACACCAAATACCACAAGTAGAGATTGGGATATTCGTAGATGAATACGAATATCCCCCTGCAGGGGGAAATAATGAGGGTCCAGCCCACTGGGGCCAGGTGGTTCACTCACCATTCACCCACTGCCGCAGGCAGAGCAGCATCTTTCTATCACGCTGTGCTCTGCCATGGATTAGCCACTCTGCAGCCTGGCAGAGAGGCTCGTCATTCCGCCTCCAGCCAGGAGTGGCTAATCCATTGCGCAGCACAGTGAAATAGGAGGCATTAGGTGGACCGTCTGGCCCCATGGGGCTGGACCCTCGTTATTTCTACCTGCAGGGGGATATTCGTATTCGTCTATGAATACCCACATCTCTAACCACAATTGTTTGCATGGCTGAGGAGGGGGATTCAGACCTAGGTGTTCCGAGTCCACTTTGTCATTCTGCCCACTACAATATGCTGGATAATTAGCAAAGTTAACCAAATGGTCCAGTCATGTGCAACAGCTGAGTGACTGGCAAGTGGGCATGTACTGATACAAATGTGAAGGTCTTTCTCATTGTGTGTCACACTGATTCAGTTAGAGGGCCTGTACCAGGTAAGCAACCAAGTCCACTGCCAGATGGGGATTTACATTCATAAGCAATACTGTGGATTGTGCGTGGATAGCTGTTTTATAGAAAGGGTCATCTTGGGAATCAATGGAAGAACTCAAAAAGTGCTTGCTAGGAAAGTAGGGGGATAGGGAGAGGCTAAATTTAGTTCCCTTTTGCCATCAAACAGATGACTGGCAAGAGCAATCAGTTTATACCTGTTACAGAAATCAGCATTTGTTATGGAATAGCAATTCTTAGACTACATGCAACTCTATTATTTCTGTAGGCGCAACTTTCAACAGGCACTTACAAACATCAATTTTAATATATGGCATTATTAGCTTTTTAAAAATTTTTCACTTACATTTGATTTCAGCTTCAGAATAATCATGACTTCTAAACATAAGCTTAAATTGCTGGATAGACCGTTCCAATTTCGCAGAAGTATAGAAAGAGCCCATCTTAACTGCAAGAGAAATACAGTGGTGCCTCGCTTAACGATTTTAATTGGTTCCAAAAAATTCATCGCTAAGTGAAAACATCACTAAGCGAAATGCGGTTTCCCATTGAAATGCATTGAAAACTGGATAATCCGTTCCAATAGAAACGAATTGCCATCCTTAAGCGAAAATCGCCATAGGAAACATTGCTAAGCGAAATGCAGTTCCCCAACTGAAATGCATTGAAACCTCTCAATGGGGGGGGGGGAATCAACAAATTAAAAGAGTCAGAACAAAGTCAAATTTGGTTAACAAAGGGTTTAAGTGCACTTTATGATTTCAAACATTTTAAACAGTAAATTTTAACTTTATAGCATTTAAAAAACAGCAAACATGAGGCTGTTTAAACCATTGTTAAGCGAAACAGGGGACCCAAAAATTTAATCGTTATGCGAAGCATGGTCCTAACATCGCTAAGCAAAAATCACCCATAGGGACCATCATTAAATGGAGCGCAAAAACACTCCGAAAGTCATTGCTAAGCGAATTCATCGTTAAAAGCGCTCATTAAGCGAGGCGCCACTGTACTTTTTTTGCATTCCATACTCTTCTGAGATGGAAGGTCCCTTTAAAATAAAACAGTAGCTCCCAACCTTGGGTAACCCAGGTGTTCTTGGACTGCAATTCCTAAAAGCCTTCACCAGCAGCTGTGCTGACAGAGGTTTCTGGGAGTTGCAGTCCAAGAACACCTGAATTACCCAAAATTGAGAACCACTGGAGTAAAGGATGCCAGCTCAAGGATCAATCCACGTTCATTTAAAACAAGTTGAAAAGTGGTGTGGTCCTTGTACACAATCCAGACACAAGGGTGGGGAAATACCTTTATTTAGACCACTAAAATCTTATAAACAGATGCTAAATTTTTTGGTTCTGCAGGACTCTTTGTCAAGCTAGCCATTACAGAGCTGGGGGTTGGTGGGTGGGTGGAGTATTCAGAAGGGGGAAAAAATCTCCAAAACCGCGGCCAGACACAGCTTGCCAGGCTTTTGCAAGCAGGTTCCAAAATAGAGGCTGTGGAATCACAGACTGTTTGGGGTGGCAAGCTTCACCCCAGGGAACATAAATTTCAATGTCTTTCCAATGTGGCAGGGTTGTGAAGGACAGGATTTTCTAGAAGTCATTAATTCATAGAGTTGCTATAAATTGGAGAAGGCCTGATTGGCAACCTAACAGTGGTATAAACTGGATGAGGAGTGGATTTTTGGTTTGAAACAAAATGAAAAAACCCCAGCAGCAGCTCCTCATTTTTGTTGTTTGAGTTCTCTCGTTGATTCCTCAGAGCTATATAAGCATCCATGATAAGTATTTAAAAAGTTGGGGTATACAGTACTGTATAAAAATTCTGATTTATTTATTTATTGTATTTCTCTTTTCCTTTGAGCTTTTCAGTCAAATCCACCTCAAATTTTTCATTCCACAGCGTTTTGAAGGCATGGGAATTTTGAATCCATAAAAGG